TTGGTCACCTGGCTGAGGTAGTGTTTGTCAGGTTCCTCCTCTGTAAAGTTTTTCCTCCTCACCCCCAATACAGTAATCTTTGGAAGGAAGTCACTATTCACAGCCAACACTTAGGGAGTGGGGATTTATGCTTCACCTCCTTGAGGGAGAAATATCTACATAAATTTGAATTCTTCTGCATGGGAGGTTTGCCTGTTTTCTGTGTTTTCTGTATTTAGTCAATCATTTCTTTATATCAGCATGGACTCATGGATATTTTATACTTTGGGTTATAATCTGATACTACATTATTTGTTCAACTTGTTCCAGCTGTAGCCATTGGGAATTCCTTCAGTTGGTTCCTGTGTCCCTTTAACATATACCCATCAATATGAATTTTAGAAAGTACTATGATTTTTAGAAAGCACTATGAGATGCTTCAGGCTCACCTTATATATTTCCTGCCCTAGTCCTAAAATCGGCCATTTCTCCCAGGAGCCCTGATTCCTTTTATAGGAGAGTGGTTTTTCAGACCAAGATCTGGGTGCTGGATGTGCTCATTGCTACTGGGGTGTTGTTGTTTCCAGGTTCTCTCAGTTGACAGAGCAAGGGAATATATATTGGTGTACTAACCCATGTCTGTAAATATTTCTATATGTACCCGTCTACAGTTATACCCTCCATAATGATGTTTTGGTCAATGACAGACCACATATACAATGGTGGTCTCATAAGATTATAATACCGTATTTTTACTCTACATTTTTTTCTAAGTTTAGATACATTTAAATACACAAATACTTACCATTGCATTACAGTTGCCCACAGTATTCAGTACAGTAATGTGCTGTACAGGTTTGTAGCCTAGGAACAATAGGCTATACGGTACAGCCTAGGTATATAGTAGACTGTACCATCTAGGCTTGCATAAGTATACTCTATGATGTTTGCACAATGACAAAATCGCCTAACAACGGATTTCTCAAAACATATCTGCATCATTAAGCAACTCATGACTGTATATACAAAGCTAAACGTGATTCATACTAAGGTCCCCAACTCTAATCCATTATCACATGGATCATTCTAGCCTGTCCCTCTCATCTGTAACCTTCCTATCTCTGACAGTGAGAAGCCTGGCTCCCATTATCCACTGCCTATTTACTTATTTGATTAATTCCAGTATACACGAGTGGTGATTTGCTTGAGAATTGATAAGTCATACACCCCCATGCCAAACTACATGCTCATCTAAAGGGAACAGTAACTGTCAAGTTCAGTAGGACACAGGTTTGGGCAGATGGGTCCACTTTTGAGGACTAAGTCTTTTGTGAAAAGCTTTTCCCCAGAGCCTTTTCAGTTATACATGATTAGTCAGAGCTGGTAGTCTAAATGGGGGTGCTGGGGGTTGGGGGGATTTAAAAATGCAGAGTAGCCTTTGTGAGACCTGGGGTGGGGTAAGAGAACTTAAGCCAATCATCAGTGGAGCTGCAGGCTCTGCCACGCCCTCTTGTAGAAGTCATACTATGGAGAAGGTGTTCTGTGAGTTTGTATGTCATGTTCCAAATACCTGACATACCAGTTTCAATTCCTTTGGATATATACCCAGAAGTGAGATTGTTGGATCATAGGGTAATTCTGTTTTTAGTTTTTTTTTTGAGGAACCTCTATACTATTTTCCATAATGGCTGTACTAATTTACATGCCTCCCAGTGGTGTACAAGGGTTCCCTTTTCTCCACATCCTCACCAATCTTTTTTTTTTTTTTTGGTAATAGCCATTCTAACAGGTATGAGATGATATCACACTTTGGTTTTAATTTGCATGTCCCTGATAAGAGATATTGAGCATCTTTTAATATATCTATTCCCATTTATATCTCTTCCTGAGAAGCCCCTTTGTCCATTTTTTAATAAGGTAATTTGTTTTATTGCTATTGAGTTGTTTGAGTTCCTTATATATTTTGTATATTAACCCCTTTGTTTTCAGATGTATGGTTTGCAAGTATTTTCTCCTAATCTGTGGGTTGTCTCCTACACTATTGTTTCCTTTGCTGTGCAGAAACTTTTTAGTCTGAGGTAATCCCATTTGTCTACTTTTACTTTTGTTGTCTGTGGTTTTGGAGACCTATCCAAGAAATCATTGTCCAGACCAATGTTGTGGAGCTATTTCCTCATTTTTTCTAGTAGCTTTATATTTTCAGGTCTTATATTTAAGTCTTTAATCCATTTCGAGTTGATTTTTGTATATGGTGTGAGATAAGGGTCCAATTTTCATTCTTCCATATGTGGATATCCAGTTTTACCAACACCATTTATTGAAGATACTGTCCGTTCCCCAGTGTGTGTTCCTGGCATCTTTGTTGAAGATCAGTTGACTGTAAATGTTTAGGTTTACTTTTGAGCTTTCTATCCTGTTACATTGGTTGATGTCTGTTTTTATACCAGTACCATACTGTTTTGATTACAGTAGTTTTGTATTTTGAAATCAGGGAGTGTGCTGCCTCCAGCTTTGTCCATTTTGTTCAAAATTGTTTTGGATATTCAGGGTCTTTTCTAGTTCCATACAAATTTTAGGAATGTTTTTTCTATTTCTGTGAAACATGACATTGTAATTTTTATAGGAATTGTATTGATTTTGTAGATCCCTTTGGGCATCACATGGACATTTTAACAATATTCTTCCAGTACATGAACATGGAATATCTTTCCATTTATTTGTGTTTTCAATTACTTTCATCAGTGTTTTATGGTTTTTGATGTATAGATCTTTCACCTTCTTGGTTAAATTTACTCCCAATTATTTTATTTTTTTGATGCTATTGTAAATGGGATTGTTTTAATTTTCAGATAGTTCATTGTATAGAAACACTGCTGATTTTTGTATGTTGATTTTGTAACCTGCAACTTTACAGAATTTTTTTTTTTTTATCAATTCTAACAGTTTTTTGATGGAGCCTTTTGGGTTTCTATGCATAAGATCATGTCATCAGCAAATATAATTTCACTTCTTCCTTTCCTATAAGGAAGCCTTTTTTTTTCTTGCCTAATTATTTTGCTAGGACTTCTAGTACTCTGTTGAATAGAAGTCGTGAGAGTGGGTATCCTTGTCTTGTTGCTGGTGTTAGAGGAAAAGCATTTAACTTTTCATCATTGAGTATGATATTAGCTGTGGGCTTGCATATTTAGCCTTTATTAAGTTGAGGTACATTCCTTCCATACCTATTTTTTCGAGGATTTTTAACATGAATGGATGTTGAATTTTCTTAAATGCTTTTCCTGCAACTATTGAGATGATTAGTGGTTTTTGTTTTTCATTCTGTTAATATGATATATCACTTTTATTGATTTTCATATGTTGAACCATTCTTGCATCCCTGGGATAAATCCCACTTGATCATGGTGAATGATCTTTCTAATGTGCTATTGAATTTGTCTGCTAGTATTTTGTTGAGGATTTTTGCATCTGTGTTCATCAGAGCTATTGGCCTATAATTTTCTTATAGTGTCCTTGTTTAGCTTTGGTATTAGGGTAATGCTGGCCTCATAAAATGAGTTTGGAAGTATTCTCCCTGCTTTAATTTTTTGGGAGAGTTTGAGAAGGATTGGTATTAGTTCTTTAAATGTTTGGTAGAATTCAGCAGTGAAGCCATCAGGTCATGGGCTTTTCTTTGGGGAACTTTTTATTACTGATTCGATCTCCTTGTTATTGGCATGTTCAGATTTCCTGTTTCTTCCAGATTCAGTCTTGGTAGGTTGCATGTTTCTATAAATTCACCCATTTCCTCTAGGTTATCCAATATGTTCATGTGTGGTTGTTCATAGTAGTCTGTTCTGATCCTTTGTATTTCTGTGTTATCAGTTGTAATAGCTTCTGTTTCATTTCTGATTTTGAGTCTTGTCTTTTTTTTTTTTTTTAGTCTAGTACCCTATCTAAAGGTTTGTTGATTTTTATCTTTTCCAAAAACCAACTCTTAGTTTTGTTGATATTTTCTATTTTTCTAATTTCTGTTTTGTTTATTTCTGCTTTTATCTTTGTTATTTCCTTCCTTCTGCTATGTTTGGGCTTTTTTCTTTTTCTAGTTCCTTGAGGTATAATGTTAGGTTGTTTATTTGAGGTGTTCTGTCTTTTTTGATGTAGGTGTTTATTGCTGTAAACTTTCCTCTCAGGACTGCTTTTGCCACATCCCATGAGTTTTGGTATGGTGTGTTTCTATCTTAGTTTGTCTCGAGATGTTTTTTAATTTCCCTTTTAATTTGTTCTTTGACTCATTGCTTGTTTAGGAGCATATTGTTTAATTTCCACACGTTTGCGGGTTTTCCAAGATTCTTCCTACTGTTGATATCTAGTTCCATGTCATTGTGGCCAGAAAAGATTTTCAATATAATTTCAATCTTCTTAAATTTAAGACTTGTTTTGTGGCCTAACATGATCTGTCTTGGAGAATGTTTTGTGTACACTTGTGAAGAATGCGTATCTTGTTGCTGTTGGATGGAATGTTCTGTAAATATCTATTATTAACATGTCCATTTGGTCTAAAGTGTAGTTCAAATCCCATGTTTCCTTATTGATTTTCCATCTAGATGATCCGTCCAACGTTGAAAGTGGGGCATTGAAGTCTCCTACTGTTATTGTATTGCAGTCTATCTCTCCATATCTATTAATATTTGCTTTATCTATTTAGGTGCTTCAGTGTTAGGTGTGTATATAATTGTTATAACTTCTTGATGAATTGATGCCTTCATCATGATATAGTGACCTTCTTTGTCTCTTTTTACAGTTTTTAACTTAAAGTCTATTTTGTCTAATACAAGCGTATCTACCTCTGCTTTCTTTTGATTTCCGTTTGTGTGGAATATATTTTTCCATTCCTTCAATTTCAAAAGGGAAATGATCATTTTTTTCTCTTTCAGATTTTGATTTTTTTTTTATTTGGCCATTTCAAGAGATAATTTCAATATTATTTTGTTTCATGCAAAGATAGTTAAATTTTAAAATCTTTTTTTTTTTTTAATTTTTAGGATCTGGAGACTTCGATGATTTTAATCTGGAGGATGCATTTATAGAGACTTCCTCAGTAAAGCGTGAGTAGTAAATCAAACAAACTATTAAAAACAAGTAATAGTAGCCCATTCTACTAAGTGAAGTATCATAAGAATGGAAAAACAAGCACTACATGTACTCACCATTAAATTGGTACTAATTGATCAACACTTATGTGCACAAAGTGGTAACATTCATCGTGTGTCGGGCAGGTGAAGAGGGTAGAAAGGAGATGGGTATATTCACGCCTAATGGGTGTGGTGCACGATGTCTGGGGGTTGGGCATGCTTATAGCTCTGACTTGGGTGGTGCAAAGGCAATATATGTAACCAAAGTATTTGTACCCCTGTAATATTCTGAAATTAAAAAAAATAAAAAAAACAAACAATAGTGATTGATATGCACCACCCATTCAGAATACAGACTCAAGAAAAAAATAGGTAATATGTATTTCACTTGATTAGGTGAAATATAGTTATATCATAAGTTATATTATTTAAAAGAAAATCTGAATATTTAAAGTCCTTTGAGAATACCTAACAATGTGTAATAGCTGATACATTATTTTCTCCAGCTCAACTCATAGCCCCTACTGGTGTGACATCCCAGCAGTGGCCTCCAAGGACTGTCTTTCCCAACTCAAAAAAGGCACTTCGAAGTGGATAAGGGATTTGTTTCTCCTTTTAGACTGTTTTTTATAATGGCTTTTCTTAAAATGGGGTCTATGTGTGGAGTTTCTCAAATGCTAAGCTTTATCAATTTTCCTTTTAACTTTTTTGAAAAAAATTTAAACCATTTTTTAAAAAATGCTTGAATGCTTCCAAAGCTGAGGCCTCCCTTGGCCTTTCTCCATTCTACTAATACCCACTCCCCTCCCAAGAGGGAACTACTTCAGTCAGTTTAGGGTATGCTGATCCCAATTAATTTTATTTGCTATTATGTACATCTACAGACAGAGATTGCTTGGGGATTTTTTGTTTTAAATTATGTGTGTGGCTTTTTCACAAAGCAAGTTGTAAATAATGCATGTATGATTATACATGTAGTCATGTGTTATTTCATGCGTAGCCATATATGTATTATTTCACAACTTGATTTTTCATTTAATGTGTATTGAAGAACTGGGAGAATATATCTATAATAGTTTGTTCCAGCTGCCTTAACAATGTACCACAGACTGGATGGCTTAAAACAACAGAACTTTATTCTGTCATAGTTCTGGAGGCCAGAAATTCTAAGTCAAGGGTCGGCAGCGCCACTTTCTCTCTGAAGCCTCTTGGGAAGAATCCTTCCTTGCCTTTCCCAGCTTCTGGTGGCTCTGGGTGTTCCTTGGCTTGTGTCTGCATCACTCCAATCTCTGCTTCCATCATCACATGGTATTCCCATTTCTGTGTCTTTCTTCTTCTCTTTCTTGCAAGGATACTTACTGGGTTTAAGTCCCACCTGGATAATACCATCTTGAGATCCTTCACTTAATTATATCTGAAAAGATCCTTTTTCCAAATAAGGAAATTTATGTTAATATATATAAATGTATACTATATATGCATGTGTGTGTACATGCACGCACACATGCATATGTACATATACACACATAGACACCTTATTCTTTTTAACTGCTGCATAGTATACCACAGTATGCATTCAGCAGACATCAGAGTGCCAACTGTGTGTCAGTTACTATTTTAGGCATTGAGGATACAGCCATGAACACATCAGATACAAACCTGTGCCTTGTGGAACTAGCATTCCAATGTGGTATGGATTTGGCCATGGCCACTATTGTCATTTTCTTCCTGGCAGACACATGGTTTGTTTCCTTTTTATGCAATGACAAACAGGGCTACAGTGGACATTCTTGTCCATGTCCTTTGTGCCCAAGTTCAAATGGAATGGCAAGGCAAAAGGGTGTGTTTTATATTTTAATAAATTCTGCCAAATTGTTTTCCAAAGTGGATGTGTTGTTATGTACATTCACTGATATTTTTATAATAGTACCTGTTTTCCTAGACCCATACCAATACTAGATTTTACCAGTCAAAAATATTTTACCAATATGACAGATAAAATATCTTGTTGCTGCTTATACATTCCCCTGCTTTTATAGTAAGATGGAGCATCATTTCATATATTTATTGGCCATTTGCATTTTCCTCTTTGGTAAATTACCTGTTCACATTCTTTCCCCATTTTTCTGCTGGGTTGTTTGCCTTTTTTTAATGGGCTTATAGGATCTCTGTGTATATTCGAGGTGGAGAAAGGGGCTTTGAAGTCAGACTTCCTGAGTCTGAACTGTGCCTCTGCCACATATTAGCTGTCACATCAGGTGAGTCACCTGACTTCTCTGCGCCTCGGTTTTCTCACCTGTTATATGAGGATAATAGTAAGCCCTACCTCCTAGGATCACGGTAAGGATTAGATGAGATGACCCATGTGAAGTGCTCAGCATGGTACTTGGAACAAGTGAGTGGCTTGGTAAACATTAGCCTTATTGCTGTTCTTTGACTGACTTGATTGGAAGGACTGATGGTGGCTGGTCCTCTGGCGTGAGAGTCAAGCATACCTGAAAAGTCCATACCTGCCTCAATGGAGTGACTGACTCAACATAGTTCCTGCCCAAATCCCAGCTGGATTTTTCGCAGAAATGGACAAGCCGATCCTAAAATTCATATGGAAATTCAAGAGACCCAGAATAGCCAAAACAATCTTGAAAAAGAAGAAAAAGGTGGAGGACTCATACTTCCCAATGTTAGCACTTATTATAAACCTACAATAATCAAGAGAGTATGGTACTGGCATAAAGACAGACCTAGAGATCAATGGAATAGAATCAAGAGTCTAGAAACCTTTATATTTATGGTCAGTTGATTTTTGACAAAGGTGCCAAGACCATTCAAAGGGAAAAGAGAGTCTCTTCAACAAATGGTGCTGGGGCAGCTGGATATCCACATACAAAAGGATGAAGTTGGGCGCTTCCCTCACACCATACACATAAATTAACTCCAAATGGATCATAGACCTAAAACTATGAAACTCTTAGAATTTAATTTTTGTGTGTGGTATGAGGTGAGAGGTTAGGACACTCTCAGGTCTTTTCCTGAGCTTGCTTGCAGCCCTATGCATGCAGGTGGCCTCTTAGATCCCCAGGAAAATAAATACACTTAATTTTTTAGCAATGATGATTTTAATGAAATTATTAACATCTCCAAAACAGAACAAAAACCCAAAACAAATGTGATAAGTATAAACAAACTCTCAATAAATTTGTTAACTTCTTGATGGGCACTTTTTAATATTAATATCCCTTTCTGAGTCATGTGCTGGCCCATCTGATTGTCATCAGCACCCATCAGCCAATGTGTATGGGACCCTTAGAACCACCGGCACGTGACGTCTATGGTTCAATGGCAGCTCTCAAGACCCCATTATGCTGTCATCCTTTTTTCTGTCTTACCTTACATTTAATGTAATTAAGGTTTCAAAGAAGAGAGGCCTGTCTACCTCTCCTTGGTCCAATTATTCATCTCATGGAGAATTTTCTCCTCTGCATATTGTGTATCCTTTTTCCTGTTTAAAAAAATCCCTGAACTGCCTAAGTCAGGGTATTGTAAATGATCTTCATTTATTCATTCACTGATGTTTCTTGGGTACATACTTGTCTACCAGGCACTGTTCGAGGTGCTGGGCATACAATGTGGACACAGTCACTGCCCTCATGGAGTTATTTTGTCTAGAAGGAGATAGTACATAAAATAACTTCGGATATTGCTGAGTACTGTGGAGCAAATACAACAGGGTGTCGGGATAGTGAGGGCCCAAGGAGGTGGTAAGTGTCAGCCACTTCAGGTTAAGTGGCGAAGGCTCCTCTGAGGGGTAGTAATGTGCTTGGAGTGGCGAAGGAGCCTTCAAGGCCAAGGGATCAGGTGCAAGAGCTCTGAGGCAGAAAAGAGCTAGGATCCCTCCAGGGCCTGGAAGGGCAGCCTGTGTGGCTGGAGTTTGGAAAATGTTGTAGAAAAGAAAGAAGTTGTCAGGGGACAGATCGTGCAGGGTCTTACGGGGCACAGTGACAACCTTTATTATAAGTGAAAGGAGATTCTCCTCAGGGATTTTAGACTACTTTACTGGGATATAGTTCACATACCATATAATTCACCTGTTGCAAACATACAATTCGGTGGTTTTTTACAGGGTTGTACAGCCATCACTGTAGTCAATTTTAGAACACTTTTATGACTTCAAAAGAAACCCTGTACCCTTTACCTATCACTTTCCAATCCCCCGAATCTTCTTGTTCCTACCCCTTACCCCAAAGCAACCACTAATCTCTTTCTGTCTCCATGAATTTCCCTATTCTGAACATTTCATATCTGGAATCACTCAATAAGTGGACTTTATGTCTGGCTTCTTTCACTTAGCATGTTTTCAGGGTTAATCCATGTTGCTTTCAGAATGCTCGCCCACCCTCCCTGCGCTCTGTCTCTCCCTTTTTCTCTGTAATCATCTCGTGGGGAAACACACTTCTGATTTTGCCAAATAAAACTTCTTATGAGTGTCCCCATTTTCTGGGAATGCTGTGGGCACTGTCTTGGTCCATTTGGGCTGCTATAACAAGATACTCTAGGTAATTCATAAAGAACAGAAATTTATTGTTTATAGCTCTGGGGGCTGGAAAATTCAAGATCAAGGTGCCAGCAGATTCAGCGTCTGCTGAAGGCTGTTCTCTGCGTCATAGATGGTGCCTTCTAGCTGCATCCTCACATGGTGGAAGGGACTTAAAGCGCTGCCTCGAGCCTCTTTTATCTGGGCACTAATCCCATTCAGGGGAGCAGAGCCCTTATGACCCAATCACTTCCCAAAGGCCCTACCTCTTAGCACCATCACCATGGGGGTTAGGTTTCAACATATGAATTTGAGGGGGACACAAACATTCAGACCACAGCAGGTATCATTATTAAACCACACCTGGGGGAACCTACCCAGTTTTGTTTGCTATTTTGGTGCAGCATCATGTTATAGAGAATCACTCCTGGTACAAGTGCCA